AATCTGACAAAGGTCTAATCTCTAAAATCTGCAGGAAAATCCAACATCACTAAAACAAAAAAGACAAATCATCCAATTAAAAAATGGGCAAAGGAAATGAACAGACACTTCACCAAAGAAGACATTCAAGCAGCTAACAGACACATGAGGAAATGCTCACGATCACTAGCCATTAGAGAAATGCAAATCAAAACCAATATGAGATACCATCTCACCCTGGCATTACTGGCATCAATCAAAAAAACAGAAAATAACAAATGTTGGAGAGGCTGGGTGGAGACTGGAACTCTTATGCACTGCTGGTGGGGATGCAAATTGGTAAAACCATTTTGGAAAACGATATGGTGCTTCCTTAGAAAGCTAGAAATAGAAATACCATATTCTCCATCAATCCCACTCCTAGGAATATATCCTAGAGAAATAAGAGCCATCACACGAACAGACATATGCACACTCATGTTCACTGCAGCACTGTTCACAATAGCAAAAAGATGGAAACAACCTAGATGTCCATCAACAGATGAATGGATAAACAAACTACGGTACGTACACACAGTGGAATACTACGCAATGATAAAGAACAATGATGACTCTGAGAAACATCTCACAACATGGATGAATCTGGAGGGCATTATGCTGAGTAAAATAAGTCAATCACAAAAGGACAAATATTGTACGAAACCAGTACTATAAAAACTCATGAAAAGGTTTACACACAAAAAGAAACAATCTTTGATGGTTACAAGGGAGGTGGGATGGGGGTGAAAAAACACTAAACAGACAATAGATAAGTGGTAATTTTGGTGATGGGTAAGACAGTACACAATACTGGTTAAGCCAGCACAACTTGTTCAGGTTAAGGTCATGGAAGCTCCATGGACAAATCCAAACTCCCTTAGGGACCAAATTACTGGGCTAAGGGCTGTGGGGACTAGATCTCAGGAAACATCTAGCTCAACTGGCATAACACAGTTTATATAGAAAATGTTCTACATTGTACTTTGGTGAGTAGCATCTGAGGTCTTAAAAATCTGTGAGCGGCCATCTAAGATATTCCACTGATCTCACCCCTTTGGGAGCAAGGGAAAATGAAGAAAACTAAAGACACAGGGGAAGGATTAGTCCAAAGGACTAACCACAACTACCACGGCCTCTACCAGACTGAGTTCACTACAACTAGTTGGTGCCCGGCTACCATCACTGTCATGGATTGAATTGTGTCCCCCCAAAAATGTGTGTAGCAACTTGGCTAGGTCACGATTCCCAGTATTGTATGATTGTGTTATCTCATGTGATTTCCTTATGTGTTGTAAACTCTATCACTATGATGAGATTATATGTGATCTCCTTATGTGTTGTAAATTCTATCAATGTGATGAGGTTATACTGATGAGGTTGAATAGATTAGATAGTGTCTTAATGAAATCTCTTTTGAGATATAAAAGAGAGAAGAGAGCAGAGACACAAGGGAACCTCATACCACCAAGAAAGCAGTGCTGGGAGCGGAACACGTCCTTTGGACCTGAGGTTCCTGTGCTGAGATGCTCCCAGACCAAAGGAAGACTGATACATCACAAGGACCTTTCTCCAGAGATGACAGAGACAGAAAGTTTTTTCCTGGAACTGACGCCCTGAATTTGGACTTGTAGCCTACTGGACTGTGAAAGAATAAACTTCCCTTTGTTAAAGCCATCTACCTATGGTACTTCTGTTAGAGCAGCACTAGATAACTAAGATACACCACTGACTGCTCTGACAGGGATCACAATAGAGGGTTCTGGATAGAGCTGGAGAAAAATGTAGAACAAAATTCTAACTCAAAAAAAGACCAGACTTACTGGCCTGACAAAGACTGGAGAAACCCTGAGAGTATGGTCCCCAGACACCCTTTTAGCTCAGTAATTAAGTCACTCCTGAGGTTCACCCTTCAGCCAAAGATTAGACAAGCCCATAAAACAAAACAAGACTAAAGGGGCACACCAGCCCAGGGGCAAGGACTAGAAGGCCGGAGGGGACAGGAAATAATAGGGAACCCAAGGTCAAGAAGGGAGAGTACTGACATGTCATGGGGTTGTTAACCAATGTCATAAAATAATATATGTACTAACTGTTCAATGAGAAGCTAGTTTGTTCTTTAAACTTACATCTAAAGTATGATAAAAAAAAAAATTAAATTGCATGTACTCTTTGGTAACCAGCTACTTCCAACTAACCATATGCAGTATTAAAAACTTATCTCCGATCCTGTGCATACATCTTTCATTATTTCTGAAGGTTAAATTCCTAGAAATGCAACTGCTAGGTGAAAAAGTCCAAAAATTTTGCCAAGAGCTAAAAGGATCACTTTCTTGACTTCTAAAAAGTTCCATATGCCTATTAAATTCCCACCCCTAAATCAAGTAAGGGAAGACAATGAGGATGACAAAACTTGCAAAGGCCTATTTTGGTAGAGAGAGGTGACAGTGTAACTGGGCAAGCAGTGGAGATGCAGCAGCAGATAGGCCTCAAGACTATGTTAAGTGACTCCAGCAGCTTTCCATCAGTTAAACATGGAGATAAAGTTATCTTCCCATGCAATGTGCTGGCTTTCCACCTTTACAACACCCACATCAGAGACTGACTTCTCGGGCTCCTGGCTCAGACACAGCTTGTACCTGACATAGTCTCCACTCTTCTTATTCACACTGTAGTTGGTCAGGTGCATGAACTGGTTTCGAATGTTCTTTGCTCCTTGATCATATCGCACAGTTGCAAACCTGACAGAAAGGACAGAGGTTAAGTGCCAGGAGTAAGGTTTGAGATCACAATAAAGGGAAGGTGACATCGTTATCTTACAAATGCTGAGTGCCTACAGAGTGCCAACTACCATGCTAGGCATTATATATATATAATATCACATTTAATTCAATCCTTAAAACAACCCTATGAGGTAGGTAATATATCTAATTTTTAAAATACATGTGGAAACTAAATTGTGATCTAGAGAGATTAAGTAACTTGCTCAAAATCACATGTACTCCAAAACTCATGTTCTTAACCACTCTATGAGATGCTGCTTCTCTTATATAAAACCTTAGAGCAACAGGAAGAACAAAAAGAAAATAGTGTTATTCACAACCTAGGAAATTGTGTGTAGAATGGTGTGAATGGTGGGCATCAGCTGGTCAACAAACACCTACTGAGTGTAATAAAAAATATTAAGTAAAAAGGAAAAAAGGATAGCAGAGCAAGATATAGCTCAGACTTCACATCCACCAAAACAACAGAACTGATTATAATATTCCTTTCAGAAATGACAATAATGACAGCAGACAAAGTCTAGGTCTGCAGAAGAGCATGCATTTGGGCATAGTTCAGGAGACTAATTACCAAATTTGGAATGAAGGCAAAGACAGAGAGATTAAACATGGAGCCCATTGAAAACAGGGTACAATTTGATATTCTGGACTACTGTCAAAAGAAGACCAAAGTATAAAATACATATGCCTCTGAGATTCTTCTGAAGGAAGTAACCAGAGAAAGAGAAAACTTTCCAGTGATGCTCAACATCAACAAAAGGCCATTCAAGTCGAATGGTTATGATAAATATCAACCCCTGTTTACATACCACTATAACTATATCACCCTTCACTAAAGTGGCTTCCCAAGAGGCACATGCAAGTGTGTGAAAAAAAAAAAAAACTGGAAGGCCACAAGTTTATTTTCATATGATTTACAAATTATTTACATATGCTTACCCAGACTATGAAGTCAACATGATTTTTTACCACATTAAAGGTCAGCATTTAGAAATTTTCCTCTTCTCTATTTCTTCTCACCCACCCACTATCTCTGCTCCCTAATTCCCTGTACCAAAAATATACAACAGCCAAGGAAAGAAAACTGGAAGAATAAAGGGGGAAAAAAACCTAAAATAAACAAACAAGAGGCCAAGAAAAGGGATGTGGACAAAGAGAAAATGTTGACCAGGCATGGATAACTAAGAACAAGAATTTGATGAACATTATGTCTACTTCCAGCAGTTATCATCTAACTTGTAGCCATGTCATTCCATGGCGAGTAAACCTTACCTATATATCCCAGTCTTCCTCCGACAAAGACTCTCCAAACAAGCCAAAGACAGTCATTCTCTGAATTCTTGTGAAATGCAAAGGGGGCCCATGCTGGCCACACAGAGGCTGCCTGCCTTGCCCAGACATTACCTCAGTGACATACCTCCTGCCGTCCCCTCCCCAAAAAGAATAATGAGTTAGAGGGAGGGAAAAGGTTCTGCTTCAGAGAAAACAGCTTTTCATGTGTCCTAAATAGGAATACCTGATCTAACTCGGTCAACAACATGAAAAGATTGGCAAAAGCCTGGTGGTTAACTGCAATCTGGTACCCAACACATTTGTCATTCTTACACTCCTTTTTTCAAGAGGGCTGCATACCTAAAAAGTAAGTTTTCGTCTTCCTAACCTTCCTTTTCACTGGGGCACTTATATCCTGAACCCCAGCAATGACAAGGTTATTAACACTACAATGGGCTTCTATAAAGGTGTAAGAAGTAAAAATTAAAGAAAAAAACAAAAACTAAGCTCAGGGAAAAAGTTCTCTAAAAGGGCAAGAATGCTACACTCATTATTTCACTTAGTCCAATAAGGAGCAGAAAAGATCATGTAGAGAAAAGGGTAGCACATGTGCTCATCTTGCCTCTGAACCCAGAAAGGTTCAATGGTTCTCACTAAAATCCATATTAAACAGATCATATTCATCATCACCATTATCCATCATTTTCTTCTTACAGTGTAGACCAGAGGTCCCACTACTTTCAGATATGGACTACTAGTGATTAACCCATAAAGGTTTTTTTTAAATTTTGTTTTGTTTTTAATTTGAATTACTTGGCCATCGTTTAAAAAGCAGACCTTCCTTCCTGCAGCCCAGTGGCAGCCAGGGCCCATGTGAGGAACGCAGTAGATGGGATGAGAAGGCAGCCCAGAGGCAGCTGGAGCCTGTACAAGGAGGGCATCCAAGCAGGGCAGTGGCCCCCACCGGAGTCAAAGTCCACACAAGAAGGGCACCTGAATGGGGCAGTGGCCTGAAGGGATCAGGAGACTGGCTACAAACATGGGAATCAGGTAAATAAATAAACATGTTAAAGATAATGGAAGCCAGATTCCTCTCTGTTGGAGAAGAGAGATACAAACATGGAAAGGGAAAAAGCTAGAATTAACCCTGTAGTTTTGAGCTAGAATTGAAGGTACTAGTATGAACTCCCATTTTTCAATATATAGAGATAATATAGAAATAAGTATAGCTATAAATGTGTATGTATGTATATACACATGTACGGGTATACATATATGTATGTACATATATACATGTATTTCCTAGATCTGCCCACTGGGAGGACCTGAGAGCAGAAAAATCTCAGGAGCAATAAGCATATCTAGCAACCAGATCTTGATTTCTAAATACCATTCTCCATTAAAAGCAACCAGTACTCCTTGGATAAATGGCCGATTCCAGGGCTGGGGCAGAGAAAGAACAAGATAAGCCTAAAATATCTTGTGCCAGAAAATAAGTACTCAAAGAATGATGAGGACATGTCAAAAGAACACAAAAGTCATCTTGAAGGGGCTGCCATTGGCCGAATCTGGCACAATTTGAGCAACAAAATAAATCATGATAGTGAAGTACTATAATTCATTAAATAAAATAGGAATCCTTGAGTCCACATTGATATAAATAAGTAACTGAATAAATAAACAGGAAGAAGAGAAAGCTCTTCCTTGGAGTAAAATGCCAAATAATAAAAGTAAAAAGAATGATGGAACTAGAAAACCATCATTGGGGAACCATTGTAGTAATAATTAAGGAGCCCTGGTGACACAGTGGTTAAGCACTTGGCTGCTAACTGAAAAGTCAGTGGTTTGAACCCATCAGCCGATCCACAGAGAAAGATGTGGCAGTCTGCTTCCATAAAGACTACAGCCTTGGCAAGGTCCTAGAAGCTCCGCAGACACATTCCAACTCCCTGAGGGACCAAATTACTGGGCTGAGGGCTGTAGGGACCATGGTCTCAGGGAACAGCTAGCTCAACAGGCACAACATAATTTATGAAGAAAATGTTCTACATTCTACTTTGGTGAGTAGCGTATGGGGTCTTAAAAGCTTGTGAGCGGCCATGTAAGATACCCTACTGGTCTCACCCCGTCTGGAGCAAGCGAAAATGAAGAAAACCAAAGACACAAGGGAAAGATTAGTCCAAAGGACTAATGGACCACAACTACCACAACCTCCACCAGACTGAGTCCAGCACTACTAGATGGTGCCCAGCTACCACCACCAACTGCTCTGACAGCGATCACAATAGAGGGTCCTGGATAAAGCTGGAGAAAAATGTAAAACAAATTCTAACTTACAAAAAAAGACTAGACTTACTGGCCTGACAGAGACTGGAGAAACCCTAAGAGTATGGCCCTTGGACACCCTTTTAGCTCAGTAATGAAGTCAATCCGGAGGTTCACCCTTCAGCCAAAGATTAGACAGGCCCATAAAACAAAACGAGAGTAAAGGGGCACACCAGCCCAGGCACAAGGATGAGAAGACAGGGACAGGAAAGCTAGTAATAGGGAACCCAAGGGTGGAGAAGGGAGACAGTATTGACATGTCATGGGGTTGGTAACAAATGTCACAAAACAATATGTGTACTAACTGGTTAATGAGAAGCTAGTTTGTTCTGTAAACCTTCATCTAAAGTACAATAATAAAAAAAAAATAGGAAATTAAAAAAAAAAAAAAAGATTACAGCCTTGGAAACCCTATGGGGTAGTTCTACTCTGTTCTGTAGGGTCACTATGAGTCAGAATCAACTTGAGAGCAGCAGTTTGGGTTTGGGCTTATAGTAATAATTCATTCCGGCAAGAACCATCAAAGGACATTAAAATTACTGGCTGAAAATGAGATGAGGAACGAAATTTTACATGGTTTCAAAGTATCTCCTCATAAAACACTTATAAATTAATAAAGGAAGACAAAGTAATTTTATAGTGGAGGAATCTGGCAGACATCACCTTACTCAAGGGGTCAAATACCACTAAACAGTTATCATGTGCCAACAGATAAAATGCAATGAGAACACAGTATCACTTCTGTGATATTCTGGCCAAAAATGCATAACCTGGGTCTACTCATGCGAAAATATTGGACAAACCTAAATTGAGAGACATTCTACAAAATGACTAGCCTGTAATCTTCAAAAATGTTAAGGACATGAAAATCAAGGAAAGACTGAGGAAGTATTCCAAACTGAAGAAGACTAAAAACATATGACATCTAAATATAACATGTGATCCTGAATTGAATCTTTTTGTTAAAAAGAACATTATTAGGACAACCAGTAAAATTTGGATGGGATCTCTATGCAAAGGGTAAAAGCAGTTCTTCGTAATATTCTTACAGCTTTTCTGTAAGTTTGATACTGTTCCAAAATTTAGAAGTCTAAATAAAAAATTGGTAAATTTCACAATTAAAAAAAAAAAATCTAGATTTTTCAGCTTCCCTTAAAAAATAAGATCTGGCACCACCCCACCTCCTATCAATGACTTGCTGGCATTGAAGAGTAAATGTCCCTTCAGGTGCGACACGTACTCTCCAGGTCTCCAGTCTCCACCTGGCTAACTTTCTTTCAGTGAATGTCCTTGTGAGCATTTTGGTTTGTGATCCCTGATTTAGACCATCACATATTATCAAATTTCATTCTGTTTAAGTC